TTTTTGGGAGAATCAGAGCCCAGAAAAAGCTCCAAGCAGCTCCACAGGAACCGCGATCACTTTGTGCTGACTCGGCTCAGGATTTTGGGATTTCCTCAGGAATTTTGGGATCTCCCCCAGGATTTTTGGGCTTGTTCTGGGATTTTGGCTACCTTGGCATTCCCAAATCCCCAATTTTGGGGATTTTTGGGGCATTTTTTGGGTTTTTTGGAGGAATCAGAGCCCAGAAAAAGCTCCAAGCAGCTCCACAGGAACCGCGATCACTTTGTGCTGACTCTGCTCAGGATTTTGGGATTTCCTCAGGAATTTTGGGATCTCCCCCAGGATTTCTGGGCCCGTTCCGGGATTTTGGCTACCTTGGCGTGGCCGTGCTTGCCCGTTTTGGAGGTGCTCATCTCCACGATCTTGCAGGGGCGGCCCTTGAGCACCACGAAGCCGTTCTTGCGCAGCGCCGAGCACTGCATGGGGAACGTGGCCGAGGCCCCCGCGTCGCCCGTCTCGAAGTCCAGGTCGTCGGCCATCGCCTCTCTGGGGGGGCCCCCCCAAAAAAACATCGGGGTTTGGGGGGGGCAAAGCGAAATTTGGGGGGGCAGGGGGCAGCGGGGAAAATTTGGGGGGTGGGGAAGGTCGGGGGATGCAAAAATTTGAGAAAAGGAAGCGAAGAAATGGGGTGGAGAGCCTAAAAATGGGGTTTGGAGGGTGGGGAAGCCCAAAATTTGGGGTGTGGAAAGTGAAATTTGGGGGTTCAGGGGGTGGGGAAAGTGAAATTTGGGGGTTCAGAGGGTGGGGAAAGTGAAATTTGGGGACTCAGGGGGCAGCAGGGAAAATTTAGGGGCTGGGGAGGTCAGGGGAGCCCAAAAATCGGGGGTGAAGTGGGAGAAGAACTTGAAAAAGGGGGTGGGGAGCACAAAAATGGGGCTCAGAGGGTGGGGAACCCCAAAATTTGGGGGTTTGGGGTGGGGAAAGTGAAATTTGGGGGGGCAGGGGGCAGCGGGGAAAATTTGGGGGGCGGGGAAGGTCGGGGGACGCAAAAATTTGAGAAAAGAAAGCGAAGAAATGGGGTGGAGAGCCTAAAAATGGGGTTTGGAGGGTGGGGAAGCCCAAAATTTGGGGGGTCAGGGGGTGTGGAAAGTGAAATTTAGGGGTTTGGGGTGGGGAAAGTGAAATTTAGGGGGGCAGGGAGGAGCCCAAAAATTCTGGGGGGTGGGGAAGGTCGGGGGACACGAAAATTTGAGAAAAGAAAGCGAAAAAATGGGGTGGAGAGCCTAAAAATGGGGTTTGGAGGGTGGGGAAGCCCAAAATTTGGGGTGTGGAAAGTGAAATTTGGGGGTTCAGAGGGTGGGGAAAGTGAAATTTGGAGGGTTGGGGGCAGCAGGAAAAATCTGGGGGGTGGGGAGGGTTAGGGGAGCCCAAAAATTGGGGGAAAAGAGAGAAAAGGAAGGGAAGAAATGGGGTGGAGACTCTAAAAATGGGGTTCAGAGGGTTGGGAACCCCAAAATTTGGGGGTTCAGGGGGTGGGGAAAGTGAAATTTGGGGACTCAGGGGGCAGCAGGGAAAATTTGGGGGGTGGGGAAGGTCCAGGAAGCCAAAAAATTGGGGGTGAAGTGGGAAAAGGATTTGAAAAAGGGGCTGGGAACACAAAAATGGGGCTCAAAGGGTGGAGAACCCCAAAATTTGGGGTTTAGAAAGTGAAATTTGGGGGGTCAGGGAGAAATCCT